TTTGCTTATCAGTACGTATACCTTCATTGTCAGATGACATGATTCCAGAGAAAAGTAGAGTCATCTACAATTTTGCCATAGGAAGTGGCAGATAGGATTTTGTTTCTTCGTTTCAGAGAAGTGACGAGCAGAAACTTCTGGACCAGATCAAAGGACACTGATACCTTGCGATATTGAATATCTCAATGATTATGCACATTAGACAACAAGAGTATGTCTTCTGTCAACGACTGTGAGAAGCGCAAGGGGAAACGACACTCCAGGATCTCAGATACTCCGAAACTCCGCACCGTACTCCGGCATCTAAATCTCGCTCTATCTTCTTTGCATAGATGACATAATACTATTACACCGGGTATCGGCAGCTAAACGTCAGAATACCCCATAGAGTGATCAAGTACAGTGGGTAATAATCTGAATACCCAAAAATGAACTATATATTCCTAGAGTTGAGGAATTTGAGTGAATTTGGTGTAACGACCTCATTACCCAATAAACGAACTATGTATTCTTAAAGTTGAGGAACGATTAATATGATTTATTTCGCATCTGGTAATTGTCTGAAAAAAGTTTATACAAAACGTATTTTTGCAACCTGCGGTGGTCCGAAATATAGATCACAAAGCATATTTCAAATCACGATATCTCAAAATGTCGTCCAGAGGGCATCACGCCAAATGAGGGTGCCGCGAAACGGTGTCCAGAGGCACAGTGCCGCCTGTGGGCGCTTAGTCGAAATCCTGGTCCACAATTCCTAGCGCAAAGTGAGAGTGCATGTAACGACCTCCAAACGGCAAAAAAATCGAGTGTGCGGCGGGAAACGGGGTCCACAGATCAGAGCGCAATGCGAGAATCCTGCGAAATGCGTCCAGAGACTACAGTGCAAAGTGAGGAGTACCTGTAATAGCACCAAATCACTCATCGCGAAGTGTGGGTGCCGCGCAACGGCATCCACAGCACACAACGCAAAGCCATAATGCCCAAAACAGGAGCAACAGGGAGACAAGCCAAAGTGAGGGCGCCACGAGTAGTCATCAAAGCGCACACCGAAAAGCCAAGTAGCAACAGAGTCAACAGCCAACGGCACACCAGCAATTGACGTCACCACAATCTAGACACCAAAGAACAAAGCGCAGAGTACCGAAGCCAAAACATCTCCCACTAATTCATTGTTCTAATTTAATACGCGAGAAGTCATTAGACGTGGGCTACTACCATCAAACTCATTCAAACTCCTCAACTCTATAAAACATAGTTATCATTTGGGTAATGAGGTCGTTACACCAAATTCACTCAAATTTCTCAAGTTGTAGTATGTAGTTGTGGCTGGGAGTATCGAGTTGGATACCCGTAACGGTATCATGTCTTATAGGGAAGTGGATACTCCTGTATTGAGTACCCTGTTGCTGTTTAGGACAAAATTTGGATACCGGGTGTAACGGGATCATGACATCACTCCTTCTTTGGAGTAAGCACTTCAGTTGGAATCCCCCATCCATCAGCGTATTGGTGAACATAATCTTTCGAAATTCAGATGATAGTGGCTTCTTGAAATACTCAAGCTGGGAGTACCGGAATTTTTAACCGATGATCATATGGTGTGATTGCAGTAAAATGCTACTTAACGATTCACAAGCTCAATGCTTCAGCAAAATAAGAAAATAATTAGCTCAAAACATCTAAAAATCAATTTAAACCTTGATATTCCAATAAACTCCAGTACTCTGATACTCCCACACTCCGACTCCCACTCCAAGAAACTCTGACCCATTTTAGCCCAATAAAAATCTTATTTGCACGCGTCTAGTCAACTTGTGACACTAGCTTATTCTTTCAATGATCAAAACCAAGTTGGAGTTCACCATTACCCCCTTATAGAAGCGCCTATATAAATATGCAGAACTAGGCTTATGCGTATCCTCTCTTCTTCACATCAACGATCCGGCGAAACTTGATCGGCCATGTCACCATCTTTTCTCACAGGTCTCTCACAGTGCACATTCGATATGAGAGCTTTCTGAAAATCACGAGGTAACGATCTCTATTGCCACATCATCCTCAGCACTACCAATAACTTCCCGTTCTCTCAGTAACTTTGTCAACACTCTAATTGAGCCCATCTACGATCAGTTCCCCACGATGAGAAACTTAGGTGTTCAATTATACCCCGATTGGTCGCGCAGTGATTCTCAAGGTTATATCATTTCTGTCGCTATAAAAAACCTCCTGGATAGAGTGAAACGACCCACCACTTCGCAAAACATTTAGTCAACGCCACATTGAGCGATAACATCGAGGGACAATGAGCACTTCTTAATCACATTCACCTTTTCCTAAATCGATAATGCAACATTGCGACCAAGTCCAACAACAGACACTCTTCTTAAGTCTTCGAAAGAGTCCTGTTCTATCACTAGCAGTCTCCTCAAAACGTCAATCACTCTAGAAGCAGAACAGACACAGGACATTCGCTGATCAACTAGGTATCACGAAGAGGGAATATCGATTACTTCTGACCATCTTTCACCATCTCAGTCGTGATATTTAGTCACTTACCACTCTCGATCTCCAGAGCAACGACATGCGTGCTGAAGCGGCGAAATCATTGGCTGATGCGCTCAAAGCCAATCAAGTGCGATGATCGATATGCTTTGACACAATGTCATCAGCTTGTTCATTCTCTTTAGACACTCGCCACTCTCGATCTCAAGCACAACGACATAGGTGCTGAAGGGGCGAAATCTTTGGCCGATGCGCTCAAAATCAATCAGGTGCTATGATTGATATGCTTTCAAACAATCTTACCAGCTTCTTCATTCTCTTTAGACACTCACCACTCTCCATGTCTCTGACAACAACATAGGTGCTGAAGGGGCAAAATCTTTGGCCGATGCGCTCAAAATCAATCAGGTGCTATGATTGATATGCTTTCAAACAATCTTACCAGCTCCTTCATTTTCTTTAGACACTCACCACTCTCCAAGTCTCTCACAACAACATAGGTGCTGAAGGGGCAAAATCTTTGGCTGAGGCCCTCAGAGTCAATCAGGTGCGATGATCGTTATGCTTTGACACAATCTCATTAGCTTCTTCATTTCCTTTAGACACTCGCCACTCTCCATGTCTCTAACAACAACATAGGTGCTGAAGGGGCAAACTCTTTGGCTGATGCGCTCAAACTCAATCAAGTGTTATGATTGATATGCTTTCAAACAATCTTATCATCTTCTTCATTCTCTTTAGACACTCACCACTCTCGATCTCTCTTTCAA